AAAAATTGAGAGAGAGAGAGAGAGAGAGAGAGAGAGAGAGAGAGAGAGAGAGAGAGAGAGAGCCGAGCGTGGAGTGGTGACCCAATAAACACTGGGTCACCTCTTTACCGACTCCACCGTCGGCTCGTGGTGTCCCCTTTCGGTCCCTTCTCTGCGCCCTCGCGGCGCTCACTTTCGTGAAATCAGAGCGAGGATAATTGAGCGGTATTAGGAAGCCAAGCGAGAAATATTGTAGGCCTGTGTAGCGGACAGCTAACAATGTCTCTTCGATTTTTTAACCCTCGAAAGTAGCTCAAATTTTTCAACTAATTACAACGAAGGCACTTTTTGGTCAATTCTCACTTTTGTTGGTGTTAATAAATTTTCTTTTATTAATTTTTTGTATTATTTCCTAATATTAATGTGTATGTCTCGATATATAGTTGAGCATTATTTGCAGCAGATATGGTGGTTGTCATTTGATGACACCCTAATAACATTAATGTGAGTTAACAAAATATCACATAACGAAAACATTTTTCGTATTCGGCAGAATATACTTTCACATTTAATCAAACATTATGTTAAGATTAAAACATATATCGTGATTAAAGCGATTGTAAATTGCGAAATAAACGAGATGTTCATTAATCTGTCCTCGTCAAATCGACTGTTTTGCATAACCGGACGATGTGTAACATCGAGCCACTGTATAGGAGAAATCGTTATTAATGAACTGTCTTCTCGTTTGTGTTGTAGGTCAGCAAGGCCAGCAGAGCGAGCAGGAGTTGGCGACGAAAATGTTGCAAATTCAAAGCAAAAGATTCTACCTTGATGTAAAACAAAACAGGCGTGGGAGGTTTATCAAAGTCGCCGAGGTATTTACTTGTCTTTCTAATTTTATACTCAACAGGTACCACGAGGGTACCCTCAGACCCCATACAAAGAACGTTTTTAATAGCAATAATTAATAATAAAGCGAAAGAAATATATATAAAGCCTGTTAATTAAGATGACACTTGTAGATAAATTTCTTACTAATGTATTATCTCATTATATATGAAAAATTGTACAATCGCGTGCGATAACAGATTTTCAAGATATTCTCTCTATTGATACATTACTCAAACTCATTTGCAGTACAGTAATTTGCATTTTTATTTAATGTGTATTTGCAGATTGGAGCGGATGGAAGGAGAAGCCAAATCTACCTGGCACTTAGTACAGCATCCGAATTTCGGGACCATTTATCGACATTTAGCGACTTTTACGCATCTCTAGGTACATTATTAATCCCTATTAATTCGAAATGAGGCAACTGTGTCAAATACGGTTATATTGATAATTAATACATGCAAAACGTTGATATTTCAATGTTTAGATTTTATTGGAGGAAACGTCAATATATTTTGTAACATGATGTAAAATTTACTGTTATCCACTATAATAATAGTCAATTATTGAAGTTGTCTCTATCCTGATGAAGAGAAATATTCGACTCATTATCATCAATTAATATTAACCGTTTGTATGATACCGGATAATCAGGTCCACCAAATCCGGAAAACGTGCCAGATGACGGAAAACTCAAGTCAGAGATGATGGTGAAGGATAATAGGCGGTATTACTTGGACCTCAAGGAGAATTCTCGCGGCCGTTTCCTGCGGGTGAGTCACCCTGTATGTACCAGCCAATGTACTTACTTTCTACGCTAAGTCATAAGAAGGATCAAGTCTCTCGGTTCTCATCTCGAGAGGTGGTGGCCTTTTCAAAGGGTGACAAAGACGAGTGTAGAAGGCTTTTCTAGAGCCGACGATGAAGAAAGGATTGTATGGAAAAAAGTCCAATTTAACGATTCTCGCGACATTTGTAGATGCAAACGGTACAGCGAATCAAGACGGGAAAATATGCCTCTAGTAACGTACGTTGAATTTTTTCAGGTGTCGCAGACGATAACACGGGGAGGTCCCAGGACACAGATTGCGATACCGGCGCAAGGCATGATAGAATTTCGCGACGCGTTAACGGACCTTCTCGAAGAATTCGGGACAGACGACGGTGGCTTCAAAGGCGACCTGCCGGAAGGCCGTTATATGCGCGTGGACAGCAAAAATTTCTATTTTGATATCGGCCAAAACAATCGTGGCATCTACATGAGAATTTCTGAGGTACGTTATTTGCTTACCTTCATTTTTCTTCAGCTTTTCTAGAATATCTTCTCTCGTTATTGCTTATTCCGATGTCAATCGTTATTGTCGATGTCAATCTTTAATCATCTGAATTATCTATAATCAAAAAACCCTCCGTTCACGTTAACTTTCCGTTACTCGCGCGCATCTGTGAGGTACAACTGTGAGCTCAAATTTCCTTTAGTGCAACATAGAGTAGAAATTAGAAAAAACACGTGTCTTTTTTGCCTTCCGTAGCATCAACATTAAAACTGTAGGAAATAAAAAACACATTGACAGATACATTGCGATAATTGATATATTTCAAATGTTGCTATCTAGCTAATTTTTACATTAAACTTTATGTTTTTATTTGAATAAAAATGCTAATAATTTTTATTTTCTTCATTGTTTTGTAAAATTTATTTTAAAAAATTATGATGCGATTTTAAAAGAGTGTGATACACATACACATTAGATATATTCTTTTTAGCTGAACTGTCTAAACTTGTGCAGTAAGTTAAAATAAAACAAAATATATTTGTCTCACTCTAATTTATTGCAGCAGTGTGCACCAGTTCAGACAGTTCAGCTAAAAAGAACAGTTTTATTGGTTTTTAAAAATATTGTATGTTTAACATGTTTTTTACATATGTTTTTTACATAAATAATAAAATATTTCATTAAATGTCTTTTATTTTAATGTTTACACAAATTCTAAAAGTAGCAGACAGGAAAATTTTATTTAAAACGTAGTCTCTATAAAATAAACAAATGTTATTTCTCAGATGACTTGCAATTCTATCTTGAGTTTCAAAAAGCGCACGCGAGTCAACGGAAGGTTAACGGACATGATTAATATGGCAGACGATATAAATAAAGCGTATTTTTACAGGTGAAAACAAACTTCAGGACAGCCATCACCGTACCGGAGAAGTCCTGGGCGCGTTTCCGTGATATCTTCGCAGATTATTGTGAGAAGATGAAGGAAGCCGGTGCCAGCGGCATTAGCAGCTCCACCGCCGGCGGTGGGAACGTATTGTCCGAGGGGAAGGGTTCAGTGGTGGCACAGGTACCATCGCCATCCACGAGCACGCAGCCTAACCCCAATCCAAATTTAGACTCTCCCCTAATCAAGTGAAAAAGGCTTTAACTTAACTCGAACATTGGGAAATTATAACTCGTAACTCGTTTTCAAGTCATTAAGCGAAGTAAAGGAACTTGTCAGAGTCTATGCCATCGTCATCGTCATCATTACTCGGCTACGGCATCGGCATGGTCATCATCAGCATGATCATCGTCATTGTCATCGACACCATCACTGTCACCGTCGCCGATATCGATACCACCGTCACCGTCACCGTCATCGACGACACACCATCATCGTCACATTCGCCGTCAAGCGCGAACACCAAAACACGCCTGAAACACGGCCATTATATCGCAGAGTATCAGCCGATTGTTGAGTATATTCGTATAGCCACAGATTTGATAATGATAAAAAGAATGAAACGATGGAAAAAAACAAACAACGTGAAACGGATGCGCGACGGTATACGTGGTTAAGAACGTGATTGTCGGCGCGTCTCGCGAAAACTAGGAAGACGGAAGGTGGAAGGAATGAATCGAGGGATAGATGGTGTGTGTGTGTGCGAAGGGAAAACGAGTCACTGCCGCTCGTGCGACTAACACAGAATAGATAAAAAGAAGAAAAAAAAAGAAGAAAAAGATAACACGCAACGACGAGATAGAGAGTAATAATTACCGCGCGATGTCTTTTTAGGCGAACACAAGTTGCCATCGATTAACGTTATGAGTACTACCGTTCATTTCCTGGCTTCTTTTAGACGCACGTTTCGTTTGTTCCGTTTCCTGATTTTCTTGTTTTAAATTACTAAATTCTCAGAGGAGAGAGACACTCGGAGTACATGTAATTTCATCATTTACTTGTCACGTGCGCATTGAACGAATGAGAACTTTCGAACGGGAAATGGACTGTAGTGTGGATCACGTTACAATTGAATTTGATCGTTCAGAATTTATAAATATAAATAGTTGTTATATTAACGATTATATCATGACGAAGTAGGAAGGAAAAGGCGTGTGGGTTTCGTCGCGAGAAAGAAAAAAAACAAGTAAGAAATAAGAAAGATCTATCTCGTGTCTACATAGGCAAGTACGTATTACGTATTTTACGTACGACGTAAAAAAAAAGAAACAAACTGAACGACGTCTCTATTAAAATAATATTACGAGATAATATATAACATAGGTGAAAGAGAGAGAGAATGGGAGAAAAAAATGCTACCCGAGAGAAAGAGAGAGAGTACGAAAAAAACCATATTAATATATATATATAAATATATATATACATATTGATATATGTATATTATACAAAGTTAATTATGTTACTGTTCTTCTGTTTCATCGATTCGTACGAAAGGTGCGCATGCAATCATTCATAAGAAGGCGTGTATACCAAATACACGCTTTCACGGAACGCATAACACACACACACACACACACGTATACAGACAGTAAATAAAGGATGGAAGCACACAAAACATCTGATACATCAATACACTATACCAAAATGCAAAACACTGACAATTCCGACGCGACACTCCACATCGAAAACCCACAGAATACACGCGCGACACGCATGAAGATATATTCCACCATGAAAGACATATTCCATCACGAGGGGCGAACGGTACAAGGGGACGGTGTGCACGTGTAATGTAATAGATTACGTAAGTTCGAGCGATGGCCGAGTTTAACACAATTGCATATTAGGTATGTATTATACGAATGCATAATAGGTATTTATATAGAATCTATATAACTGTATAATTGTAACGAAATGCCAATGTCCGCGGACCCAGGCTACTGCGCAAAAGTCCCGGCAACGGCGCGATCCTTAATCGAATTGAGACGCGCCGTTGTTGCTGGCTCCTGCAGTCGCTTAGGCCCCGCCCGTCGGACACAGGAAGAAAGATGATGAGACAGAACGTATGGCAGAGTGAAGGCGAGAGATAACGCATTTCGAGACGGTCGACTGGAGAATATATAGAAGTGGAAAATCACGCGATCGAGTTTCCATCTCTCGGTCGCAGGGAAAGGAGACCTTAATACGCTTCGATTCTGCAACGCTGTGCTAATATCATCAATGACAAAATATCTATTCTTTTCTTCTCGCGTTTCTTCCGATCGAGACGATAAACCGACGTAAGACCCACTCGTATTTCGCACTGGTGCGAATACGAACGGTGCGAATACGGACGATGCGCTCTATCAGAGAAACGCCATAGACGCATTCTATTTAATAATTCTGTTTATAATCAAGTATGCGTAATTGACGCATCTGTATTCTGGGAATATTGATTGAAATTTTATTTATTTGCTATAAGCGAGACAAATTTACTATATCATTTATTTTGAACAAGATGTTTTTTTTTCCTTTAAAAATTTTTTTCTTTTAAAAAAGAAACGACAATTTCGGCTGATCTGAATTCACTTAGCACGTAGAAGTCTCAATGATTACAATATAAAATGTAAAATATAAATCACGATTACCAATTCAAGTACGCACGAGTGGGTGGAACATTGAGACTAGAACTCCGATCCCCTTCGATTTAAATATACTTAGTCCTTGTTCTATCGTCTTTGTAACGCACTAAACGGATATACATACACACACATATATATACATATATATGTGTGTATATGTGTGTATCGTGTATGTAGAAGCAACTAATAAGTACCCGGACAGATCCTTGACGAACGTATTTACAACACTTTTACACTTAACGCGTTCACTCGTTCACCGTCGAACTTTTTATTGAGTTCAAAGGGGATCGGTAAAATCCGCGATCTGTGCACAAGCATTGTATATTGTTCAAAAACCAAGCGTTGCATTGCGACGGAAAACGGCATAGAGGAGAGGCATAGAAAAATCGTTCACTGGCTAGGCAGATGGTATGACATTGTGATCTATACAAATTACAAATCACAAAGCATCCACAAGTAGTAGATATTTAAGATATAAATACACACACACACGTACATCTATGGTGACTAGAGGGAGAAAGAGAGAGCGAGAGAGAAAGGGAGAGAAAGGGAGGGAAAGAAGAAACACTGTGTTACTAATGCATTCGCGCAACAGCGCGTGCAAAAAAAAAAACACATACAAACACACGTTATTAAAAGGCGAAAACGACTACAAACGTACCTAAAACTAACTAAAAACAAAACGCAGAGCGAGAAAGAAGGAGAGAGACAGATATAAAGAAACAAAAAAAAATTGAAGAGATACCGTCTGACACGTAAGAGTAAGCAAAGTAATATAATGTGAATGAAAGAAAAAAAACCACGACGCTCCTGCCACGCAGCGAGTCTTTAGACAGCTTTAAGATAATAATTATAAATGATAAAATAATAATTATTAAATAATAACGATAAACTTTCTATATGTTGAATCGTGTCTAGTGAGAGAAAAGTACTATCGAAGTAAAGCAACACAAAAATAAAAATAATAATACTATCGCCACACACAACACACGGATTAATGCAGTTTATATGACCATCAAAAAATTAGTTGTCTATCGAATATTCCTTTCTTTGTCTTTTTCTTTTTTCATAAGTACGTAGTGGAGAAGGTGGCTGTTAGAGAATAGCTAAAAAAAAATGATGATGTTTCGTTTTGTTGTGTTGCAAAACAAACGTTGCGCAGTTGGTGATCGGCGGACCTTTTTGCTAAGTGTTAAAAAGTAATGTCTACGTGAGGAAAGAAAGAAAAAAAAGGAAAAAAAAACAACGGGGGTGCCGGAGTCCCATACCTGTGTTTTTATATTATACGGTGGAGTTATTACGCCGCATACTGTTATTCATTGTCACGCGCTATTATTGTCACGTAGGATTTTCATACGTGAACGTTGTGCGACAACTGCGTGTAGCGACGTCAGATGTGTCGCACCGTCAGAACGAGGAAATGCATCCACGATGTGCACTCTGTATACGCGATGCGTGCTCTCCTCGTCGCGACTGTGATTCTTCTCCGCTGCACGACGTTGTGACTTGTAGAGAGAAAGGGAGGAGGGAGACCACAACAGCTTCGCCACTGTATGAAAATCCTGCTGTCTCGCTGCGATTATTCTTATCATTATTATTAATATTATTATTATTACGATTATATTGTCATTATTCTTACTATTACGATTATTCTTCTTATTACCGCTATCATTAACTATTAGTATCATTTATCATCGGAGCGCTACTAGTTGTGTACTGACCACTAATAACGAGACCGGCCTCGAGCGGGCTGATTTTCTTTTTTCCTTTACTATAGCGTATGCTATGCTGTGACAAGATCGGTCGAGTTTGCGAATTCAGTGGCTTCTTTTTTCTTTTTTTATCCCCGTATCTTGTTTCCCTCATACCACGGGCAAAATCCTACCGCATACCCTCTCTCTCCTCGCGTTTACTTAAGTTTCACACTCTTCCCTTCTACCGTAGACTCCGTTTTAGCAATCGGCCCACTCAGGTCTGGCGTAGAGTCGATGGTGAAGTACGGTTTCGTAGAAAGAAAGAAAGAAGGGACAGAGAGAGAGAGAGAGAGAGAGAAAGAGAAATGAAATGAGTGACGGATAATGCAGAGATGATGATGGCCGAGAACATCATGCGAGTCGAGAAGAAAGAGAGTGAGCTAAAAAGAGAGAGTGACTCGAGAGATCGACCGGCGCCAACGGAACTTTGATCGACGGTGTTTAGATTAGACTAATTACTTATTAGGTTCGCGGTCTAGCGGATCGCACGTCGAATTCACGAGCAAAGCTATATTAATCGTCACCTTCGGCGCGGTGCGTTTTCTTTTACCTCCTCCTGGCGCGCTCTCGCGTGTGTGCATGCGTGCGTGAATGCTATAATTTGTGTGCGTGTATACGCTCGACAATCGAAGCGAGCGAGCTACTTTCTTTTTTGTAGGGCGGGGGAGATGAAAATGAGAGATATAAGAGGAGAGAAAAAAAGATAAATAAATAAAATAAATAAAATGAAACACACACCGATCGCGAGGACGATGCGCTGCCGAACAATTATGCGTTTAATGTCACGCGAAGTAATCGTCGCGAGAATCACGCGCGCTCTGACCGAGTTATCACATTATATCATCAGTAGCGTAACGAAAAAAAAAAATTTTTTTCGAGTTTGTTATTGCAGAAAATAAGTGAGATTTAATTGCGATTGGCCTTTGTATGTCGTTTGATTTATTAAAGATAACAGTCTGTTGCAAATATCAACGTTTTTCATCCTCCCAACGCACAGCGCAGATATCCTTTTTTTTCGTATCGTGTGTGACACTCGATTGTAATTAAGAATCTATTGTAGCGATGTGAATGCGTATGTATGTGTGGGAGTGAAAAAGTATATATGTGTGTGTGTGTGTGTGTGTGTGTGTGCGCGCGCACGTACGTCAAAGCATCGCCAAATTTATACGGCTATGATGCCGCGTGAGATATTTCTCACATCGCGGTCGTGACGAAGCTTTCATGTAAATATCTTGCGGTTTACGGTGCGGCGTGATGAAGCTTCCGGTTATCGCCGACCAGAACGCAGAGCCACTTCGGCGTGAATTCGCGACGTAATATGCATTCGCGGTGCATCGTCCTCGATGGCAGACGGACGTCGTCTGACGACGCCGTGACTTTCCGACGCTTGAAGAGAACGTTGAACAGTGCGCGCAACTCTTGAGCGTTACTCTCATCCCTCGAGGATCGATATATCAGCATTAATATTAATTGTTATATAAATACTTATCGAGCCGAGTTCTGTCGCGAAATGTTACAAAAGCTCGAGGATGATTTTGTCGGGCGCAAATTCGTACCAATTGTTTCTTCGGATAAACGTTCTTTCCGCCACACATAGTTTGTAATATTTCCATATTATTAACTACTAAAGAACGCAAGAGAACAACCCGCCGGAGTCGGGGCGAAAGATCGGTCCACTGGCACGACAAACCGGGGATAAGCACGAGGAATGTTAGCTTTGCGCATCCTAAGGACGTCCTGAGAAGACCTGAGAATTCCTTGGAACCCAACATCCGAGAAAATATCCAAAACTCCTTTCGTTGATCGAAGGATCGCAGGATCCCGGAAGATCGGAGGTCCCAGTGTGTCCCATCTATCAACAGAGATCCGAGCGTCTCGGGATTTGCAAAATCTCGATATCCACGGATCATAGGATTCCAGATTTCTTGAATCTCGAGACACCGTGAACGAGGATCCTAGAATTCGAGGATATCTTCTAAGGATACATTCCAAGATTCGAGGATCCCGAAGAATCGCGAGATCACGGGACTCGTGGATCCCAACTGAGTTTTGATCGTCTCGGAACCCGACACGTCTCGAGATTGCGAATTTTAGGATTCTACCCGGATAGCACAGGAATATTCGATGAATGTTTTATGAGTATTACAAATATTTATACATTCTATGAATGTACTAAAACACTCATATGTTCATAGTACGTTCATAGTGTATTTGAATGACGTAACTATAAATGTTGTATGTGTGTGAATGTGCATACATTTACAAAATGTAGGTTAATCCTTTAAGGCCCAGTGTACATGATTATGTACACACTTACTTTGAATCTTCTTCAAATTCTTTATATTGGCAAAGTGATGATTCTGTCGATATGATACTATTGATCTATCTTGGATCTTCGTTCCAAAACGTGAAACACTGATTTTCCCGCTGAAGAAATCAATATAGCGATTGTGTTTAGAGAAGAATCGTTGATGTTCGAAATTATGTAATTTTTCATGAAAAAACGAGAAAAAACAAATTTTATTTTCTCAACTTTTTGTCATTTTAAAGTACAAAGTTAACGCTTTTATGTTCATTATTATGGTAATAATATATTAAATTCTGTAGCTGGGAGGGTATACATGTGCAGACATGTATGACTTAAAAGATATAATTATGTACATATTCAGGAGATCGTACTTCTCGACGGTTAATTTTATTCGGATCACAAAACTCTTTATCAGTAACGTCTTTTGAAATTATTCTATGAAAAAAAAAGTGTATTCGAAGGGGATTGATGCCTGGACCTTAAAGGATTAATCATTAATTTTGCTGTTGCAATTATAAAAGAATAATTTAAGTATCTCATTTCATAGATATGTTTCATTATTATAACAAATACATAGAATTTTGGAACATTTGGAAAACTTTTCATTTACATGAATGCATTGCACTAAATAAATCTGACCAATGTTCTTTTCTATTGTGAAGATACGCAAATCTCTAACTGCACATACAATATTGTAGATACATTCATAGAATATCCGATTCGGATATTGTAATGTTAAGAACATACATATTTCATAAGGATATTCGTAGAATATTATGTGTTATCGTGGTAAAGATCCTGCTGGATCCCGAGATACGAGGACTCGCGGTTCTCTGAGTGTTTCCTAAGTAATCCGTGAATTCGAGGACTCGAGACGAAGACTCCTCTGAGAGGCGCCGGGAGATCCGCGGGATTCCGGTCTTCTTGACGCGAAGTATCGCGCGGCAAAGTGTCCGCGCGATTTAAAAAAATGCGACGAACGCGCACGCCTTTGGAACCCAGCCACGACCTTTCGCCCGCGCTGCAAAGATAAACGTAGTTACTAAAAGAGCAAGCCATTTTTACGCGCGCACACGCATACCCCCTCCCTGTGCGTATACCGCGTGTGATCGTGTATATATGTATTGTTGTAACGGTTGAAAGGCGCTTAAAAAAAAAACAGATACACAAAAAAGGTAAAACCGAACGGGAGAAAGAACAGAGAGAAAATCCAAAAAAAAGAAAATAACAGGAAATGAAATGGTAGCAACATTAACAATCGCGCAGAAAAAAAATTTGTTGTTCATCTATTCGACATTGTGTGCTCGACGTGAAAAACCGAAAGGAGAAGAAAAAGTAAGATAGAAACCAAAAAAAAAGAAACTAGATACAATTACTATTACGGCTCACACATTCGAACAAAAAGAAAAAAAAATACAGAAATCAAGATTCTCATCGCCTCGATGTTAAATGTAACACGTTTTACAAGGTAACAGAGCATTTCATTTTATAACATTTCTACTGTCTATGCTTTCACCCGGACACTCTCATCGAATGAAGAAGCGAGCGGGGAAGAATCCACCTATCCCAACACCCTCCAAGCACACCATCCACCCCTTATTAGAATTGGCCGGAAATGTATAGAAAAAAAGCGCAGTGGAAGAGAGAGAGAGAGAGAGAGAGAGAGAGAGAGGGAGAGAAAGCTCTTCGGCACTCACCCCCAAACCCTTTCTTCAATTACGGCGCATAAAAATAAGTTGTTTCGAGTCGCGCGACCCCTGCAACGGCCGCGTCATCGCGAAAGGACGTCAGGGAGGCAAGAACGTTGTCCTTTCGTCGTATGAGAAGCACGATACGACGAGATGTACCAATGTTACGCTTTAAGCCGCGGGCGATGCTTCGCACGCAATGTGTAACAGCGGACTGCGTGAGAATTTCATCTACTTTTGTTACGACAAGCTAAATTGGAAATCTTTGACAGAACGATTAAATCAAAAGAGTTACATCAATCGGGTTGTTCATGATGACCCACGATCTGGATTTCCGAATCCGGAGCTTCAAACTACGTCCTCGTCTGGATCTTTGCGTTTCGCGCGACAATCCGTGAATTCCGTGGACTCATCCTTTTTCCGATTTTTTATTCTCAATTTTATTTCAGTTCTCGCGCGACTTTACAACTCTCTGTGTACTCCATTTCTACTTGCTTTTGATTCAATTTCTCTTTTCATTCGCTCGCCTTTATTTATTCTCTTTATTGATTATTTAAGTTATTTGTTGGAAGTTCAAAAACGTTGTTTCCGTCAAGGCTCCTATTTTTCCTCGCTGCGGCCATCTTCTTAGATAGCACAGAAATATTCCGTAATTGATCTGTAAATATTTTTTACGAACACTAGTGTAATGTTCGTAAAGAATGTGTAATGAATTTATATATTGTAATGAAATTTAGTACATTTTATGAATGTACTCTCTCTCTAAAAATACTATTATATGTTCACAATATATTCATAGAATATTCGAATTACACAACTGTAAGTGTTTTATGAATATTTACAATATTCACAGAATATTTACAAAATGTAAATTAATCACATTAATGTTGCTTTTGTGAATTATGAAGAAAAAACTTTAGTATTTCATTTTCATAGATATGTTTCTTTATTAAGCTATAAATGCGTAATACTATTTGGAATATTTCTCAAACAGCATAAATCTCCACAGGACATCCTAAAGACGTTCTGAGAACATCCTTACGTCCTAAGAACGTTCCCAGGACATCTCCTGGGAGATCTTGTGCTGTGTTGTGGTGATCTTGTGGACTGGAAAATTTTTCAGTTACAAGAATGCATTGCATATGCATAGTAGATAAATCTTACGAATGTTCTAAGAACTATTCTATTATAAATATACGAATCTCCGTGTCTACAATATTGTACGTATATTCATAGAATATCCGATTCGAATATTCTGGAATTAAAAGAATTAAATTCGTATTTTATAAGAATATTCATAAAATATTTTGTGCTATCTGGATTGATTCACAGCATCAGAAGCGAGAAAGCATGCTAAAAATATGTTGGAATAAAATATGTTTACAAAATGACACTTGCAATTAGTCAAGCAGATCTGTAAAATAATTTTCGAGCAATTTCTTTTTACTTTAAAAATCAATACAAAATCGTAAAATTATAGAATCATAGAAAAACATAGACTAAAAGGATTGATTACACGTTATGTTAATTTTACGATAATTTATTAATTGTGGATTGCGAAAAGGAAAGTGCTCGAATTATTTTACAGATGTGTCCGATTGTGATTACAAGTGTCACCTTATGGGTATATTTCTTTATTTTAACGTATTTTTTGCAAACAATTTTAGCGTGCACTAAGATAGACAGATATTGAACATAGCATGCATAGATATGGAACATTTAATATTTTATGTTTTGTGATGCTATTGTAAATTTGCCAAGCACAATATGCTTAACATATACTTATTTTTGTTAATTGATGATATTAATATTTGTATATTGGTGCACCGATGCATCTATAATGAAAACTTTTTTAAGTACTCCTTCATTTTCTTCACAACAATTAATTCCACTCGTCATTCGACGTACAAAAGTATTAAGATGATATCATGGAAAAGTGAATACTTTATAAAATATTTAATTTTTTATGTTGAAAGAAATATAAGCACAAAATATGAAATATCTCACAAGGAAACACCGCGAACCCGAACTCTTTAATTTTGATATTCTTTTGTGAGTATATAGAGTAAATCGATATATGAATAACGGTATATTCCATTTGTATCCTATCGTTATTTAAAGGTATGATTTACACTCTTAAAGTAAAAAGGACGATTCTACTTTTTCGTGTATTACTCTTAAATTAAAGGAGATAGAAAAAAATTGTTCGAATAAAAGTTTAATGGTAAGTTAAGTGCTGTAAATTGACATAAATATAAATAAAAAATACCTTTTTTTATTGTAAAAAAATTTTTTATAGGTATTGTCAGAAAGTATTCACACACTTGTTATCTTACTGCAGTACTTTTATATTTAGAATGACTTGAGGAATCGATTTATTTAGAGAAAATTATATAATTATATTTAAAAAATCAAAATTGGTCTTGAAATAATCTTGAAAGAAATATTTCATTATCATGTTAATATTATTATTTCATGCTCCTCTTGATATCTTGCATCTTTTGAGATTTTTTTAAATAGTACATTTCAAGATATTAGTTTGTAATATACGCTCTATCCTAAACCTATACTGAAAAAGAATTCTTGTTGTACGAAGATGCACTTTGCGTACTTGTGTTAATCACTAAACAAATAATATACCGAAATATGTCTATCTGAGTATTTTCTCACTTCTGATGTCATCAATCAAGATTTCTGCGACGAAGGACCAGTAGGCTTAACGAATCAAATAATTACGTACTACATCGCGATTTATTCAACGTCGATTTTTTGTTGAAATCGTATCCTCAATAATAACATAATCCGCATTGACGCATTGGGCTTCGACAGGTCGCGTGGCCAAAGTCCATCAACGGCAACGGCAAAACGGAGAAACGTCAGAGTGGTCAACAGCAGCAGCACGAATTCCCGAAGAGACGAAGGTCCTTACCACGCCAAACGAAACCATACTCCGTCGATCCTGTCAAATCCATTTCCACCCCTGCTGCCGTCGCACCCACCTCCTTGTCCTGCTCCGCTGTGATCGCCAGCAAAAGCACGGTGTCCGAGAGAATGGAGTCTTAGGAAGAATCTGACTATATAATAATAAGCTTTAATCTTATGGTGTAATTCTTCGCAGCCGTACCGATTGGAATTTTATATAGCGCGCATTGTGTTTATCTTAATTTAGCAAAACGGTACATACGATCGTTGGGATGGTTTCTGTTGAAAGTCCATGCCGCAAAAACGTTTTCTGTTCGTTTCATATGCAAGGGCGTTCATTTTCTCGCGCCATACGTGCGTGCATGGTTACGGAAAGGCGTTATTTTTCTTGTTTTTTTTTTTAAGT